AGCTGCTGCTCGCGCAGCTGCTGAGGGGCCGCGATTTCCCCCACTTTCAATCCTCCACGCCGCAAACCAGCAGCAGCAGCAGCAGCAACCGCAGCAGCAGTATTAGCCACAGAAACAGCAGCAGCAGCATTAGCACCGCCAGCATCGTCAACAGCAGCATTAGTAGCAGCAACAGCAACAGCACCAGCAGCAGCACTATCAGCAGCAACAGCACCAACAGCAGCAGCAGCATTATCAGCAGCAACAGCAGCAGCAGCAGAAACAGCAGAAGCAGCAGCAGCAGCAGGCGTACCCTGCATGTATTATGGTATACCCCAGCAGCTCGTCCGAGGGGGGCCCCCAGGGGCCCCCCCAGGGGCCCCTGGAGATGAGGCCTACGAGCAGCTCATTATCCTGTGGCAGCAAAAGTTGGAAAGCAAAAATTAAAAAAAGAAAAAAAAGAATTTAAATGAAATAAAACAGAAATAGAAATTAAAAGATATTCAAGAAAGAAAAGAAAATGCATTTTACGGAAAGAAGAAACACTCAGACATTTATCCTCGCAAGAAAGGCCTGCTGCAGCCTTAGTAGCAGCAGCAGCAGCAGCAGCAGATGCAGCAGGATTAGCAAGAACAGCAGCAGCAGCAGCAACAGCACAACGGCAGCAGCATTGGCAGCAACAGCACTGGAAGGAACAGCAGCAGCATTAACAGCGGTTGCATCAACAGCAGCATTAGTAGCGGCCGAGGCAGCAGCAGGCACAGCAGCAGCAGGCACAGCAGCAGCAGGCACAGCAGCAGCAGGCACAGCAGCAGCAGGCACAGCAGCAGCCGGACTGCCTACCGTTTCTGCAGGAAGGCAGCACTGCAGCACCTGCTGAACAGGCAAGCAGCAAAGACCATTGGTCACAGCAGCAGCAGCAGCTGTGCTGCTGCTGCGACTCGCAGCAGCAGACTGCAGCAACGCAGCAGCAGCGCGGCTCATCTCCTCCTCCCCGTCCTCCATCACCACCGCTCCTGGCCGCAGTTGCTGCTGCTGCCGCTGCTGCTGCTGCTGCTGCTGCTGCTGCTGCACTGCAGCAAGGCGCACCTGCAGCTGCCGCCCCCTCACTTGTGCTGCATTGAGGTCTGTCACGGAGTGTACGTACACCTGAAAGCTGCGGCTTTCTTTTAGCTGCGCAGCAGATGCTGGAGACAGCAGCAGCAAGGGGTCCATTGGGTTGGCACTTGCTGCTGCTGCTGCTGCTGCTGCTGCTGCCGCTGCTTCTGTTGCTGCGGAGGGGGCCCCTCCTGCTGCAGCAGACTGTGTTGCTAAGGAGGCCAAAGAACAAATGCTGCCTCTCCTTAAACTAAAGGCATCAGCAGTACCCTCTAATGGGGGGGCCCCCCAAGGGGGCCCCCCAATAGAGGGGGGCCCCCCAATAGAGGGGGGCCCCCCTATAGAGGGGGGCCCCCCAATAGAGGGGGGCCCCCCTATAGAGGGGGGCCCCCCAATAGAGGGGGGCCCCCTGAAAGTGGGGGCCCCTTCCTCTTTAGGGGCCCCCTGATGGTCAATTGTTGCTGCGGCGTTGCTGTACAGGGGCCTCACGGAGGGGTCCCTTCTTGCTGCTGCTGCTGCTGCTGCTGCTTCTGCTGCTGCTGCTTCTGCTGCTGCTGCAGCGTGAGGCGGTTGGGCAGCTAGTGTGCAAATAGGGCCCCTAAGAGGGGGGGCGGCCCCCCAGGTAAGGCTGCGGGGCCCCTTGCTTGCTGCTGCTTCTCTGGCTTTAGCTGCTGCTGCTCTTTTGTGATGCACTGAAAGCAGCTGCGCTGCACTTACTTCTGCTGCTGCAGCAGGAGCTTCAGCTCTTCCATCTAAGGAGAACAACAGGCGGCACCAACAGCAGCAACAAACCTCAGAAGCAGCAGCAGCAACACCAATAGCAGCAGCCCGTGCTGCAGCTGTTCTTAGGGGGCCCTACGCTATCCAAGGGCCAGCAGCAACAGCAGCAGCAGCAGCAACAGCTGCTGCTGCGGCGGCCACTGGTCATGCGCTGCCGCTGCGGCTGCTGCCGCTGTTGCTGCTGCTGTTGCTGCTGCTGTTGCTGCTGCTGCTGCTGCTTACGGCGGAGGAAGCAAACTTCGCTGGGGGGTGCTGGAGACTCAAAAGAAAGACAAAAAGAAACGGGAGAAAAGCTGCTGCTGCTGCTGGGGAGAAACCAAAGAAGCAAAAAAGAAAAAATGAAATAAATTAATTGAAAAGAAATGAAAAGAAATAATTTTAAAAGTATTTATAAAGAAATTAATTTAATATTAAATGGAGTTTAAGAGGAACTTAAAAAACTAAAAAAGAAATCAAAAAGAATTAAAAAGAGGAAAGCAAATGAGAGAGAAAAAGGAGAAGAGCAGCTAAAAGTGAAGGAAATAAAAGGGCAAAAAGAAGGAAAGAAATAAAAGGAAATAAAAAGAAATAGAAAAGAAAAGGAAATAAATAAAAAGAAATTAAAACTGAATAAAGAAATAAAAGAGAAATAAAGAAGAGAAAAGAAACAACAAGGAAAAGAGAAATAACAAAGAAAAAACAAAAAAAAGAAAAAAGAAATAGAAAAATAAATAAATGAAAAGGGAAAATAAGAAAGAAATTTTAAAAATAAAAAATGAAAATAAAAAGAAATGAAAAGCACAAGGAGACTCTGACGGGGTGTACAGACAGATGGAAAATGACAAAAAGACAAAAATGGCAAAAGGAAGAACGGGCTCCAAATGAAGCAGTAACAGCAGCAGCAGCAGCAACTGCAGCAGCAGCAGCAGTATTAGTAACAGCAGCAGCAGCAGCAGTAGCAGCAGCTGCATGAGCAGTAGCAGCAGTGGCAGCATTAGCATTAGCAGCAGCAGCAGCAGCAGAAGCAGCGGAAGCAGCAGCAGCAGCAGCAGCAGAAGCAGAAGCAGCTCCAGCAGAAGCAGCAGCAGCAGAAGACACTTCTGCTTAGGGTTTAGGGTTTAGGGTTTAGGGTTTAGGGTTTAGGGTTTAGGGTTTAGGGTTTAGGGTTTAGGGTTGGAAGACACTTCCCGAGGGTCTCTCTCTACTTCTACCCATTTCGCCCACAAAGCATACGCAGCAGCAGCAGCAGCAGCAACAGCAACAGCAGCAGCAACAGCAACAGCCAGAGGCGCTTCCTGAGGGTTTTGCTCTGTTTCTTAAGGATAGGGTTTGTGGCCTAGGGTTTAGGGTTTAGGGTTTAGGGTTTAAGGCTTGGGCGCTCACTGCAGCACTTGCTGCTGCAGCGCGGCAGCAGACAGCAGCAAACGAAGATAAGACAGCTTTGCGCTGCGGGTTTTCTCGAGAGCGAGCAGCAGCAACGCAGTCAGCAGGCCTAGAACGCATAGCAGCAGCAGCAGCAGCAGCATGCAAGAAGCAGCAGCAACAGCAGCAGCGGCGAGCAAGAATCAGCATCAGCAGCAGCAGCAGCACGAAAGGCACAGAAACAGCAGTAACATGCAAAAATCAGCAGCAGCAGCAGCAGCAGCAGCAGCATGCAACCAGCAGCAGCAGCAGCAGCAGCAGCAGCAGTTGCTGCTGCTCCTTCAGTGGGCAGACCTTCGTCTCTGCCGCTGCGCTGGATTTCTTTGGCTTCGCCGTCGCCGAGAGAAAGGCAAAAGGCAGCGGAGCCGCGGGACCTCTGCAGCAGCAGCAGCAGCAGCAGCAACAGCAGCAGCGTAGATGGGGCGGAGGCAGCAGCAGAAGCGTCAAGCGCAAAATATCTCTTTTTCTTTCTAAAAAAAAGAAAAAGAGATATTTTGAAAATGAATAAAAAGAATAAAACCCTTAAAGAAGATATGCATTAGAGGGTGTGCAGCAGCAAAAGCAGCAGCAGACAAACTTGGCCTAGCGAGGAGCCAGCGCACAAAACGCTGCCGCAGCAGCGACAGCAGCAGCAGCTGCTGCTGTTGCTGCTGCTGCTGCAGCAGCCAAATTCCACGCGAGTCCTTTTGTGTCCGCCTTACACGTGAAAGGGAAAGCCGCTGCTGCTCCTCTTGCTGCTGCTGTTGCTGCTGCTGCACGCTGCTGGGAACGCGTATAATGCCCGCGAACTTCGAAGCCGTGGCTCTCCCTCTCTGCTGCTGCTGCTGCTGCTGCTGCTGCT